CACTCGGTTGCTCATTAGTGGACCCTATCCAGGTTGTTTTGCACCGATGCGTGAACCGGGCCAACGATTTTTACGTCACCAGAGAGCTCAAAGCACGGGTTCCCCAAGTTTTGATGAACGTCATCTATGTAGAGTAGGGATGGTAGAGGCCAAGGACTGACCTTTGAGGTACCCCACTATGCATACTCCCTTCCCCCGACATTAACTATCTTAAACGCATCCCGAATGTCCTTCTAACTAGGCTTTCCTTGATCCACACCACTATTTGGTTTGATAAGCCGAACCACTGGAGCTTGAATAACAAAAAGAATTGTTGGCATCAAAAAATAACCTCGAGAATTTGCCTGACGGAATACAATCAATGACGGCTCTTGCAGCGTTGGATTGTTTTCATAACCAACTTTCAGCATTGCTGGATGATCTACACAATGTGAATAACCTAAAAACCGCGGATTTCTCGGACAGCATATTACCTCTTCTTCCTACCAGTTCGCATCGATGCAAAAAGCCGTGTCTCCTTAAAGTTCAGAATAATCCAATAAAGGATACGCGTTTACGTAAGCTGGCCAATGATCCAAAAGCAACTAAACCGTTGTTGGAATACTTGTGGCGTCTTGACGAACCCACCGGCAAGGGGAAAAAGAATCGAGTCAAAAATAACTCAACTACTCAATAATTTGAGCCCAATCAATATCCAGGTGCCGCCAGCAATGCACCGGGTCCGGACCATGTCCAGGCCACGATGGATGCATCATCAGGACCCACGGACTCACATCCCCATATAGTCATTCAGCGCCCGGATGACAGCGAGTTGTATCGCATTTCTCAAACCGGCACAGTCAAAGATGGTCCACGACCTTATTTGGTCATGTGCACGGTGCACTGGGTGGTATTCAAATCGGAAGCCCAGCTGAAAGCTTTTCTCCGTGCCCAGGAGGAATGGCATAAGGAAATTGGTTAGCTGCGTCGTCGTGCCACTCTAGCCACTCATGACTTGGATACTGTCCAATTCCCATTAGTATATACTATGCGCCAATCCGAACAAATTCAGTTCCATGTGCTGAACAATAATGATGCAACCACCGGTGATCGAATTTTAATCCGCTTGTATCATGCTGCTGAGGCAGATCGAAAAACGCGGAAGCAGGCCAAATTCAGTCAGCTTTATCGATACGTTAACACGCTAAATTTGGACCCCACTGAGGCACGTGATGGGTTCCGTCAACACATGTTGCCTGTGATGGAGGATGCCCGAGGAATAGTAATCTCATTGCCGCCATTATCTAATTGCCATCAAACACGTCTGACCATCAAAACTACCAAAATACCTATGGAAGTTACGGGAGTCCAGTTAGATGTATACAAAGAATTCGCGGAGGCCGTGATAGCTTGGTTGCTAACACATACCGTCTCTCCACCCTCGGCCGCTCCACTTATTGAGTCTGTTCCGTGGATGCGAAGGATACGGCACCTGATGGCACACCAGATGCACTGACCAAAAAGCGTGATCTGGTGATTCCACAAAATGTGCTTCTGGTCCGTCCGGTACGTGTTGTCGATTCCGAGTCCACCTCGAAATTAAGTTCCATTTTCCCGTGGCTGCTGGATTTAGTTGCGGCTAAATTCGGAACTGTACGGGGATCCATTCAGTTGCATGGAATTATCTGACCCATCTTGAGCCACCCTACCGCGATATGCACACAGTCGCTCAGATCTCCAGGAATTTTTCTCACAATTTGACTCGTAACTTTTCCCTGTGAACAGGACTGTTTTGTTTGGACTCGAAGAGGAATGTAATCAAATGAATAATCGATGGTTTACTGAATCAAAAGCCTTCTGGAAATCTCAGTAGATTACCTCAATCTTTTCTCTCCCGTCGAATATTCTTGTCACTTCCTCCAAATGGCGTAGTATGTTCGATAAGGAAGACCTTTTACGCACCAACCCATGCTGCAATCCGGCAACCAGTCCGTGCCTTTCCAGGTGGTCAACTATTGTGTCCCGGATTACTCTCTCCATCACCTTCAGCACTACAGAAGTTAGGCTAACAGGGATGTAATTTTTCCTGGCTCTTTTATCTCCACCCTTGTGTATAGGCGTGATGATAGCGTGCAGCCACTCCTCCGGAAGGTTTCCAGTTTCTAGCGAAGCATTGAAGTGCTTTGCTAGTGGACCTGGCATTATCGAGGCTAGTGGTTTCAAGATGGCCGAATGGATGTCGTCCGATCTGGCTGCCTTGTGCTTAACCAACTGAGAAATGCTTCTTTCGACTTCTTCACCCTCATTTGGGTGATCATGCATTTTGGTACATCCCTCGGACAGTTTGGGCAGGGTGTCTCATTGTTTGTCCTGTAAACCTGCTGAAAAATACCTTGTAGTACTTCTGCCTTTTCGTAGTCAGTGTTCGCCTCCGTCCTTTGTTTATCTCTCACGCATCCTACCCCACTTCGTAGGCATTTCTTCGAATTTACGTACCCGAAGTATGCATTCGGGTTTGTTTTGGCGTCTTTAGCTATTCTCACCTTATATGATTGCTTACATTCCCTTTGTACTCTAGAGGCTTTCTTTCTGGCCACCAGGTACTGCAAACGACTGCTTTGGCCTCCTCTGGCTTTGTACGGCTACTAGGCCTCTTGCTTCCTAATGTTTGCCTTGCGTGCACGAGACTTCCACCACGGTAGAGTTCCAGCCTACCTGACTCCCCGGATAGATGCAATTTCATTGGTGAGGTATATTAGGTTCGGCTTAATCACCTCCCATAGGGTCTGAACGGAGCTCGGTTCCGCCGTCCAGTTCAGAGACGATGCTTTTCCGATAAGCTCTACTTGGTTTATTCGGCTGAAGTTCCTTCCCTCTTATCAGGCACCAGGGTCCCTTCTAGGGTATATCGTTTGGCACAGTGTTGTGATTAAATCTATCATCGACCTAGTCTGGTCAGCTCTCCATCTGGTTTCCTGGTCTACAAGCTGCACTATTGCATGTTCATGGAGCGCAGAAGTCAGACGGTACCCAAATAACCCTCCCGGAGCCACCCGGGTCTGCCAATTTATCTTCGGAGCGTTAAAATCGTCCATTACAAGAAGCTTCAGTGATCCCCTCGTAACGTCCGTTATAAACTGTAGCAGTTCGTTGTCCTCGTCTACGTCGGAGGACGGTCCCCGGTATGCATAGGCTATGGGTAGACCAATGCTTCCTACTTCCACCTGGGTTTTAAGTGCCTGTACATTAGACGTAAACAGTCGCTTGCAATCCTTGCAGTCGTAGTGATCTTCTATGATCAGCATCACTCCTCCACCTATCCTGCCGCAGTCCCTGTCGACCCTGCAGATGGTGAAATTCGATGGGGCTAGCTGACTGATTCAGTCATCCTTTTGTAACCAAGTCTCAGTAACTGTGATCGCATCGGCATTGCGAAGCCGTGCTCTCAGTTTACACCATTTGTTCCCTGAACTTGCCGCGTTTGTATAAGCAGCATGAAAGGGAGCCGTTCTCCGTACTCTGGTCCAGTATCGGAGGTGGCGGTATGGTACTCGGTAACTAGTCCCGGTAACTAGTCAGGTCGGGTACACAGGACTTGCGGCTGTTGCCAATGCGTCCAGTTCCTGGCAATTATGAGCTCTGATGCAATCCCATTGTGTTTCGACTGTAGGAAAATTTCTTGATCCTTCTCTTATGGTTTCCGAATGACAGTCAGACTGAGATGCAAACGAGATATTGGAATGTTTAATCGGTAATATCAGTAGGCTCTAGTCAACAAAGGCTCATCGCTTGAACCGGTTTCTATGCGAGAAATTCAAGCCAGGCACGTTACCGGTGGGTAAGTATAAGATGTCAATGAAAACTTGGAGAACACAAGAGTTGTACTTCATAAATTATAGAAAATAAGAGTTATTTGTGTTAAAGAAAAAGGATGATAGATAAAATGAAAACTAACAAGATATAAGTCAAACTTTCTCATGGGGCTCTTATGTTGGCCTATGGCTTACCCTGCACTGATCACTCCAATTCAGAGAATACAGTCAGCCAGTTCGTGCTTGAAGCTTATCACATTTGTTGTTGTGCTCAATGCTTCTGGGAGTTTGTTCAAGCCAAACACCACACAGTTTGTTAGAAACTGTGCTCGAACTTCCAGCCTGGAACTCTCTTTTGCCAATTTCAAAGAGAGCCCACGCAATGCCACATTGTTAGTGACAGTGAACAGAGGAGCACCCGTATCAGTTATGCTTTTATACTCTTAAAGGCCTCAATGAGATCAGCCCTAAGGCGTATCCTCTTCAGTGCAGACAGACGAGTTAGGTAGTCTCGCCCCCCAAAATGGGGGGAGCACCTCGTGAACCTACGTTGAACCGTCTCCAGGAACTTCTTGTCCCGCTCCATGTATAGAGACCATGCTTGGATGCAGTATTCCAAGTGTGGTGTTGTAGTGACTATGATGATACGCAGAGAAGGAGAAATCCACCAGGACATTTTCCGTTCATATTTTCTTTGCAATCTACTCTGACTCCAACTGTGATATTTCTTTTTGTTTTAATTCAATGCTTGTTTCACTGAGCATGGTTTTCCGCTCAGGTAATATATAAGCTGGGTCCTGTTCAAACCCACGCAACACGTGTGACACACTTCCGCTTTGCTGGTGCATTTATTTGCTTGTAATGTTTATTCGTCACATCGGCACGTTTTCGGTACTATCTATTAACACGATGCGCCAATAAACGTCTACGAACACCACAAGTGTTTTCGTCTACTCCGGGTAACGAAACAATGGGAGGCTGCGTTCCATTTGAGCTTCGTAAGAAGACTGATCGGCAGGCCGTCAAGCTCGATTAGCTTCAGTCTCACAAACACTTTATATAGGGGTAAAAACACCTCTGGATCTCGCAAGACAGCAGTTCTCAGTAATTGGTACAGAGCGTTGTTTGCCTTACGTGCCGCCATTAGTCACTGCTTCTCGGATTCGAAATTATTGGGGACCTGAATTTCTAGGTCCCTTATTTCGTCACTCTTTTGAAGTTCCACTGGGTTATCAAAGTTAATTCACTGTACCGGGTCTGTGCTTTCAGTCTGTATAAGCTGTCTACATCTTGCCACGTTGAGCGGTAACTCCTGGTTTTCAGTCCAGCGTATGAGGGTATCCAAATCCCTCTGCATGGAATGGCTTGACGGGGAACCCACCAATTTCAGGTCGTCAGCGAATATGAATACTGGGTTCTCTAGCCGGCAAGTCATTCACGTAGGCTAGATTTAGGAGAGGGTCTAAAACTGACCCATGTTCGACTCCACTTGCTATCCTGTCTTCCATCAATTTGGACCCTTGTATAATAACATAGAAAGACCTTCCTCTCAGGAAGTCTTCCATCCATACAAACACTTTACGGTGAATTTCGAAGGTTCTAAATTTCAGGATCCGTAGTTTGTGGTTTACAGAGTCAAAGGCCTTTTGGAAGTCCAAGTAGCAGACCTCAACTCTCTCCCTTCTATCCAACGTGTCAGTGATTTCACCTAGAAACACCAGTAGGTTCGTGAGACACGACCTCTTCCCCACAAACCAATGCTAGTTAGCTGAAAGCAGGTGATGGCACGCAACATAAGCCACCACCTTATCTCTCAGTAGCCCTTCCAGTATCTTCAGTGATACCGAGGTTAAGCTCACCGGCCAATAGTTAGCTGCCTGATTTCTGTCTTCTCTGTTGTGTATGGGGACAAAATCAGTCACCTTCCAGTCTCCTGGCAGCCACCCTTCTTGGAGGGATTTGTTAACCAGCTTTGCTAACGGTGCAGCAAGCACCCCAGCCAGTAGTTTCAGGAGGGCCGGATGGATATCATCGGGTCCCGCTGTATTTGTGCTCTTCAGTGCTTGGTATTGAGCCCTTACCTCATCTGCGGTGACGAAGACTTCAGCCATTGCGAGTATCTCTCGCTCTTTGGGGTTGGAGGTTTCCTCTTCTATCTAGTTGGTAAACCTTTCCGAAGTTACGGCGGAAAATATCCATCTTTTCAGCATGTGATTTCGCACTAACTCCGTTCTCGTTCTGAATGTTCTCGAACGCCCCTCTNCCCCTCTGTATGAGGCTTTGGTCTGGACATAATTAAAGTAGGCTTTAGGGTTCAGTTCCGCATTCCTCGTTAGCCTTTTTTCATATGCAATCCTACACATCCGCTGGACCGTCGCTGCCAGCTTGAACATTCTGTCTAATTCTAGGAATCGGCGGTGGATGTCTGAGCATAACTATTCGCTAGCTATAGGAAGTTGGACCACACTAGGTTCCAGCTCTCCTCCAACGGCTCACTGGGGTTCAGTTCCCATGTCATGGAATTTGCACCCCTTGGGAGCTGCGCTAAGTGTGTTCCCCCATAGTTCCTTCATCTCTTATCAGGCACCATCAAGCCTCGGAGAGGCATGGTAATGTGAATTAGAGGGTAATCGCTCAACCCCAGTGGGCCATTATCTGGATATTCTCTATAGCATTTACCCACTTTGTCAATACCAGGTCCAATGTGATGGGTTTGCTACCATCGCGCCATCGCATATCTTCACTTACTCGTTGCACGAGAGCTTCATCATGCAGCAGGTTCAGCATCGCGGAGCCGGAGGAACCCGACGGAGCACTTTCTTCACTCCGGTTTGTCTCTGGTGTGTTGAAATCCCCGGGGATCAGTAGCTTCCCATTGTGCCAAGCTGCCGTTCGTAGCATGAGTAACAGCATATCATCCTCGTTGATCATGAATGATGGACTTCTGTTAACGCTAACTCTCGGCAGTTTGATGGGTCCAATGCACATCACACAGCAGGAAACCTGGATGTTTGGCGTTGACATCGTGAGTTCCTGTCTCTAGCTCTGGTGTAGTTGCTGTG